GATTTCGCTCAAAATTTCCACTTTAAATCTTTCCTCTCCTTACAATGAAGCCAGCTATTTCAGTGAGCACTGGACTTTTTTGGGAACGAACCGTTGGCTTTATGAGCACCGCGTCTACGGTGATTTGTAACTCGATCAAGCATTTCTTACTGACATGCACTTAGCTAATTTTAGTCAGAGATTTATCGCAAGAATTTGTCACTAGGAGTGAATTATTGTAGTAAAACAGCAAAAATTCGTGAAAAATCGATTAGTCATGTCTAGAGAGGAAAGCAGACTGAAGCCGCCTTTTGCAGACTAACTTGTTTCGCAGAAAAATCACTGGATTTGAGGCCGATGGATTCAATAGGTCCTCGCGTTTTGGTGAAAGTCATGCGTTTAACGGCCAGCGTAAATGAGCGTGAAAGGCAAAAAATAGTGAAACAAGCAACTCGAAATGCTTGCTAACATTCTCCTCGGACAAAAAGACGCGCCGATGTATTGCCGATGAGAACTCCTATTTTGGAAACTATTCAGCGTTGTTTTCGACTGCCCGTTTGGACTTGCAGACCTCTTGGGTGCGTTCGTGGTATTTTGACAAAATCTGATAAACCTATGATACTTTACAATCGAGTTCACTCAGTATGCGTTACTTTAACTTGTGCTTAATAAGTATAACAAGGAGTCGGACGAAATCCTTGCTTCGGCTGTTCCTGTCTGATCGCTCAAAGACCGACAAATAGTGTTCCATCCACGGCCCATACCACCATACGCCTACCTGTTGCCCATTTCAGTTAGAAATAATCCTGAAAGAAAGTCGGCTGTACTCAAGGCTTGCCCGTGCTGCGGGGGTTCGAATCTCACCGATGCCATCGAGTATTTCACAATTGGGTCAAATGATTTATTTGAACAAAGCACTAGTAATTAAGCGAGCCTGGTAGTCGTCTGGTGGATTTCTTAATGGTTGCTTCGGAAATCCTATTTGAGAAGTCCGCTTACTGTCTCATAATTGGTGAATCCTACACGTTGCAGTAGGTTGGGCGAGTAACTTGACCCAAATGTGGCTGAATTCGCGGATCTCCGTAAAGCCTTGTGGCTACTGTAGTTAGAGTCTTGGCAGCACCAAATGCTTGCTCTAATTGTCGTGAGTTTGAATCCCGTAGAGGCCTTCAAGTCTTTCACAGTTGGGTCAAATGCACCATGGAAGAACTGCAAAGAAATAAAGGAAAGCTGGGATTAACATTTGGGATTGTTTGCGTACGTCAGGCAGCCACACCGTGGTCAGATACTGGGAAGACTCTGGTTTTTAATCAAAGTTCAGCTGGCCATCGAACTCATCGCTCTACAGCTTAGACCACCAACTGAAATTCTGTCGGTTTGAGTAACGAATATCCAGTATCTGATGGAAGTGGCATTCATTTTATGTCAGAACTGCGGTCTAGAACTCTCGTAACTAGCTGCGTAACGAACAGGAAAACGGAAAATCCCAATTCCATCCTGAAACGAGGTACCTCTCAAATGACCACTTTATCTGGTATGCATAAATACCCACCCCTCTGGTAACGTTGCCTCTTAACTATACTAGTAACCTGTAAGTCAGGTTCCATCCTCTAACCGTCTGGGTGTGTTCTTTGCTTGTTTTTATGGCGTAGTGAATGTTTTGAGCCTAGACCCGAAGTCATCTTCGTTTCAATCTCTTTTATGCTTTATGGTCAACTCCTGATTATGACCATACAACAGCTCTTTCAGAACCATTTTCCGATTACCCAAGTGTCAATATGCTACCGAGAAACCCACTTAAACTAATCTCGTTTTAAACTATGAAGAGAGAAGGGCTAGATCGCAGCTCGTAGCCAGGGATGGGGTAAGCGGACGGCGACCTTAACTCTAATTCTAACCTCAACCTTAAACGCTAACCGTTAAGCCTAACGGCAACCCCTAACCCTAACCGAAATCGTAAACGTACCCGTAGCCCTTAGACATAGCCGTAACTGAAAAACCTAACCGTAATACTGAAACCTAATTGTACGCTCAAACCCTAACCGTAACACGAAAACCTAGGCCTAAAGGCATAGCCAGTATCCTGATCCTAACGTCAAACGTAAAACGGAAGCCAAATGGGTCAGATGTGATTACAGAACCCCACAAAATAGCCCCAGTAGACAAACCCCCAGCCACCTGCAATACGGGGTCTGGCTACCAACTGTGATCTAGCCGAAAGGCGCACATATGAGGACTCTTTTTTCGCGATTCTGCTTTGCCACTGAAGATGCACGTCTACTTTGAAGCGAAATACTGCATCCATTCTAGGCAGTTCCTCGTCTCTGATCCGCGACTGATTCCCATCGACTGATATGATGCCTTCTTCGTCGTTGGTTGTCAGTGCATGTGGGGTTGAACGCACCTTCACTTTCATCGCTTCAGTGAGTACGGATTCCAAATAAGCCTTCTTTTCATCAGATCGATAAAGGCTCCACTCAGTCTTTAAGCACAGTATCATGAAACTTCACTGGTCGCACCTGTTTGGAGAAGAAGTCAGGGGATGAGTACCCACCGACGCTCTACCATGAAGATTAAATTAGGAAACACAGACACTGCAGGATTAAAGCCAGCCATTTCTGGAGTCTAACCTTCGCCATCCGGACTTGGCGCACTCGGACAAGAAGTACACTTCGAGAGACGAGTCTGCACCTCCGACTTTCAGTTCGGAGTCGTAAAAGCTGGCAGCTCACCTCCTGTGGTCGAGAAAACTAAGCCACTAGTACCCCGTTGTGCTAGTAAAAAGGAATAGCACGCGTTGCGCTCTCACTGACGACCGGCGTGGCCTCGTTCTCAACTGGACTGACAGCACTCGGTGAGATGTTGTAAATACCGCTCAGATATTACTTCCCTGTTGATTACCTCTGAAGTAGATTCCTACACTACCAGTCTCCTCCGTAACTGACAAATCCGATGACTGATCTCTCGTCGGTGAGAGAAGCGAACAGGCGAGTTCCAGGTTGCAGTTCAGAAGACGAAGATGCGATCACTGGAACAAGAAATTTATTGGCCTGACGTCTCGGACTCTCACTCGAATCCATCATCAGAGACATTCGCAGATAAGGGCATCTGATGATGGATTCGGGTAAGAATCCGAAACGTCAGGCCAATAAATTTCTTGTTCCAGTGATCGCATCTTCGTCTTCTGATCCCTCATCCCACTTCCAATATGAACCTGGACACCGTATATTCATCTCTACCTGAAACCTTTTTTTTCAGAATCCACATTAGTATCGGAGGCCTTGGGAAAAGGGTTCTCTCGATCCTACCTATGACTTTAAATCAGCGATGTGGGGACGAGGCTGGATCTGTCTTCCTAAGCCCGGCAGTCGGTCGGGGGGGGGGGTTTACACTACCAGCTTGCAGAGCGCCAGCATCAGTACCGGGCCCTGCTCGAGCCTGTTGCGTGGCATGACAAATTTCCACAGGCTCTGACATGTATGCGCACGAAGTGAAACTAATTGGTGCCAGCACAGAGCTCATCTGTAAGTGCGGCAATTGGGCGTGTAGGCCTTTCGTCTCCTCGTCGAGGCGCTGATGATCATGGTGGCTGACGCGGATTTCTGCTGTAGGAGCTTGTGCGCAGCGTGTGTGTGTGCAAGTGACTCGACAGCGGCAGTCAGCAACGTGTTGAAGCAGGAAGGCCTGTCGCGCTAATTTGCTTGTGTATTTAGGCAGCACTCCCCCCCCCCTCCCCCCTCGGTGGGTGCTTGCGCCTGCGAGGGCTAACGCCCCATTACTCAGCCTCGTCGCCGCGGCAACGATTCTGAGCAGCGGCGGCGGCGACGCATCACGATCACCGCCTACGCCCTCTCCAGCGGAGGCTGGTGTGACTTGAGGCTATATCACTGTTACCGTGACGGTTGTCGAGACCCGGTAAGCATATCAACTCCTGTGACGGCTACCATCACTGCGTGTGCGTGCGTGTAGGAGGTCTCACGTTCGCACTGTCACTGCACGCGCATCAAACGTGGTGAGCACACACACACGCACACGCACGATCAGGTGCTCTATTCACCACTGGCCCCTCCCGTCCTCCGAACAGCGCTCGAGTTGAGTGACCCCCAGCAGCGTGAGGGGCACGAATCAGAGCTTGGGCATTTGCAACAATCCCCGCCTACAGGGTTATGCAATGGGCATTAAAACACCCATAGAGCTCGTCTACTTTTTGTCGCAAAAGCCTAGATAGGAGAGCTAGATGGTGGGTACGTTGTCTCTTTTGTTGTGAGTTTTTCGATTCGCAGCGGAAAGCGGGCGCCCGATTGCCTCTCGCACTAATATGGGCAATGCGTAGAAGGCACTTCTGTCAAAATAAGTAATATATGCGCACGTACACATGAATGTGGCACCCTGTAGAATGTAGTTTAAGGCGAACTGAAAATCAGTCCCACTGCATTGAAATGATCCTGCTGTAGAAGCAAATTTTCGGTAAGATATGGTTATGTAGCCCCACCTGATGGACACAATACTGTTGGGGGTGGGGTTAGGGATTGGAGTTAGGAGTTAGGGCAACTATTTCTCAACCACTCAAAGTACAACCGCGCGTCCCTAAAAGCTTCTCTTTTGCATACACCTACTTGACCTCGTCGCCTGTGCGTTCCCCGGCCCCACCTGTAAAAACCCCTATTACTACCGGTCCCGTATTACAGGTGGCTGGAGTTTGTTTATTTCAGATGGGGCTACATAACCACATCTGACCAAATTCTCTCAGCAGGAACTTCAAATAAACAGACTCCAGAAAAAACTACGTACGGATTTCGTGGAAATGACTGTAAGTGTGCACATTAATCGTCCAGTTCATTGCTTTTTCCGCGTGTGTGTATGAAGCGCAGTAAGAAGTGGATCTAGAAAATATTGGGTCGGGTTATCCACCCTAAAACGTTCCCCGTCAGAGGCACGCTCTCGACAGTCATCTGTAAGGTCCGAACCGGCTGTGGCGACCAGGAGAGAAGACATACTCCTGGAAATCATGGAAGCCGGAAATGCAGGCGAAGATGAAGCTGGTTCTGCACGAGGGGGTTGACGCCTCCTCTGTGTGTGTCCTTCTCTCGCTCCGGCAGACAGAAGAACGTGTTCGTCAGGATGAGGCGGTGTTCTGCGCAGGTGCGGAGGAGCAGCAGACCATTGTCGTTTAAGCCGCGGAGACCGTGGGGACCCAGCACTCCTCTCCAGGCAGTATGGTCGGTGCCGACGCGGGCGTTGAAGTCACCAAGGACGATCAACTTGTCCGCCTTCGACGCAGTCGCCAAGAGGGTGTGCAGGTCCTCGTTGAATTTGTCTCTTGCGGCGGCGTCGGGGCTGCTCGTCGGCGGAGCGTAGGCGCTGATGATGGTGGCGAATTTGCCCCCCCCCCCCGCCGGAGAGGCAGACGGAGGCTCATCAGACGATCATTGATGCCCTGCGGCAGACTGGGCAGCCGTCCCACGATGTCGTTCCGGATGACGAAGGCGACACCCGTGTCTCGTCGCTCGGCCCTGGGTCGACCACTCCAGAAGAAGGTGTAGCTGGCACCCACCTCCTCCAGTTGGCCGTGTTCGGAGAATCGAGTCTCGCTGAGTGCGGCTATGTCCACCTTGTAGCGCGCCAGTTCTCGTGCCACTAGCGCCGTCCTCCGTTCCGGTCGGTTGCTCCTCGGATTGTCTAAAAGGGAACGAACATTCCAGGCTGCCAGAGTGAGCGGGCTCACCCTGCCAGTCCGGTGACAACGAGTGGGGCGACGGGAAGGAGGTGGAGAAGAAGGTGACGAAGGAGAAGAATAGGCAAAGGAAGAGGAAGAAGAGGTAGGATGAGGAGAATGAGTATGGTTGTTGTTTTTGTTCTTGTTGTTGTTGTTGTTGTGGTTGTTGTTGTTGTTGTTGTTGTTGTTATTATTATTATTTCGATTTTGATTGTTTCGACCATGTTTATGACATCTGCAGCCCTGGCTAGCCTGCAGACGGCGTGGTGCCCAGCAATTTTTAGGCCACCTTTTCTAGGCCCTTGCCCCCGAGACGGCAGGCAGTGCCACCCCTGAATAGGGCTGTCTCTGTGCCTGTTTGGCTCGACCGAACCCCACTATGTAGCCACGACTTATTGTTTTTAGTGAAGAACGACCGAATTTGCCATAGGTCTGCGGTCTCCGTCGGCGAAGGTGGACACGTCTCAGCGAAGGCGATGCGGGGACCCGTCCAGGCAGCAGCTGTCCAACGGCGTACCAGACAGAGCCTCGTCTCGACGATGCCGGCGCATTGTTTCATCCGACCGTCCATCCAGCGGATTCCGCGATGCCCTGTGCACGCGACACAACGCGCACAAGCCCCCCTCACCTGGTTTAGCCCGCCGGTTGAGACGGTTGCCCGGGGTGTGGCCGCTGAGCAGAGCATAGCTACGTGCAGCTACAGGTGAGGCATCCTCGGTCGCGTCAGTGGCACCTGCTGGACTATGTCCTCGTCCGGAGGCGAGATCAGCGGGACGTGCTGGTGACGAAGGCGATCGCGGGAGCTGACGGGTGGACCGACCATCGCCTCTTCATCTCGAAGATGCGTGTTCGCCTACAGCCTCGCAGGAGACCACAAGGTAAGCGACCCCCAGGTAAGCTGAATATTGCCTTATTGTCATTGCCCGCTCACCACCTCCATTTCAGCAATGAGCTAACTCAACGGCTAGACAACCTTCCTATCGCTGCCGCCGCCGCCGCCGACGCCGCTGCCGAGAACGCCTCGGTGGAGAACCGATGTTGTCAACTGCGGGACACGGTCCAGTCGACGGCGTTAGCTGTCCTTGCTCGCGCACGCCGCCAACACCAGCACTGGTTCGACGACAACGACGCCGTCATCAGCAATCTGCTCGCTGAGAAGAACCGCCTACACAAAGCCTACGTAGACCACCCTGCTGACGACAACAGAGCTGCTTTCTACCGCTGTCGCCGCCACCTTCAGCAACGACTACGCGAGATGCAGGACGCCTGGACAGCCCGCAAAGCTGAGGAGATCCAAGGATACGCGGACCGCAACGAATTGAAGAACTTCTTCTCCGCAATCAAAGCTGTCTACAGTCCGCCGACGAAGGGCACTGCTCCTCTCCTCAGCGTCTACGGCAACACTCTCCTGACTGAGAAGACGCAAATTCTACAGCGATGGGCCGAGCATTTCTGATGCGTCCTCAACCGCCCCTCCGCCATCTCCGACGCCGCCATCGACCGCCTGCCGCAAGTGGAGACCAACGTGGACCTTGACCTCCCATCATCTCTTCAGGAAACCATCAGGGACGTGTAGCAACTCTCAAGCGGGAAAGCACCCGGCTCGGACGCAATCCCTGCTGAGGTCTACAAGCACGGAGGTCCCCAACTCATGGACCACCTGACTGCGCTCTTCCAGGAGATGTGGCGTCAAGGTGAAATCCCGCAAGATTTTAAGTACGCAACCATCGTGTATCTCTACAAGAGAAAACGGAACCGCCAAGTCTGCGACAATCACCGTGGCATCTCCTTGCTGAACATCGCCGGGAAGATCTTCGCTCGCATCCTCCTCAATCGTCTTAATAATCATCTGGAACAGGGCCTCCTGCCGGAAAGTCAATGCGGTTTCCGTCGTCATCGCGGGACCACGGATATGATCTTCGCCGCCCGTCAACTTCAGGAGAAGTGCCAGGAGATGCGAACCCACCTGTACTCTACCTTCGTGGATCTGACAAAAGTCTTCGACACGATGAATCGTGAAGGGCTGTGGAAGATCATGCAGAAATTCGGTTGTCCGAAACGATTCATCCAGATGGTGCGTCAGCTGCACGACGGTATGATGGCGGAGTCACGGACAACGGAGCTGTCTCAGAGGCATTCGCAGTAACCAGCGGAGCGAAGCAGGGATGCGTGCTGGCGCCTACCCTCTTCAGTCTTATGTTCTCTTCCATGCTGATGGACGCCTACCGCGACGAACGTCCCGGGATCCGCATCGCCTACAGGACGGACGGTCACCTTCTGAACCAACGACTGATGCCCTTCCAGTCGCACGTATCCACAACCACCGTTCACGAACTTCTCTTTGCCGACGACTGCGCCCTGAACACCACTTCGGAAGAGGAGATGCAAAGGAGCATGGACCTGTTCTCAACCGCCTGCGAGAACTTCGGTCTGGTCATCAACACGCAGAAGACGGTGGTGATGCATCAACCGCCACCCAACACCGCCACTCCCCCCCAGCACGCCGCAAATCAGCGTGAATGGGACCCAACTGCAAGTGGTGGAGAACTTCCCGTACCTGGGTAGTACTCTCTCCCGTAACACCAAGATCGATGACGAAGTCGCCAACAGGATCTCGAAAGCCAGTCAAGCCTTCGGCCGCCTCCAAAGCACAGTTTGGAATCGTCATGGTCTTCAACTGAGCACAAAGCTAAAGATGTACAAGGCCGTCATCCTGCCGACGCTGCTGTACGGATCGGAGACTTGTACAGTGTACACAAAGCAGGGACGCAGACTAAACCACTTCCACCTCAGTTGTCTCCGTCGCATCCTGAGGCTGAACTGGTAGGACCGCATCCCCGACCCTGATGTGCTGGAACGGACGGGAATCCTCAGAATCTACACCATGCTGAGACAAATGCAGCTGCGCTGGAGCGGTTATCTGGTGCGCATGGACGACGAGCGACTACCCAAACGACTCTTCTACGGAGACGTCGCAACGGGTTCTCGCCGTCAAGGTAGTCGAATTCGTCGATACAAGGACACTCTGAAGTCCTCCCTGAAGCGTCTGCAAATCAATCCGACCAACTGGGAAGAACTCGCCCGCGATCGTCCGACATGGAGGAGAACAGTGAAGACGGGCGCTGCTATCTATGAAGCCAACCGAATCGCCGCCGCCAAAGCGAAACGCGAAGCCCGCAAATCCCAACTGCGCCCAGTACGCAACACCGATGCACAACCGCTTCCAACGTGTCCTCGATGTCAACGGACATTCCGGGCTCGAATCGGACTTGTTCGACATCTTTGGATCAACTGTACCTCTCGGACCGCACCATCAGCCGTCCCTCCACCCGCCTCTTCCTCGTCCACTCTGCCGCCAACTAACTCTGACATTTCCTCTGAAGCGCCACTTCCATCCT